TGGTAGGTGTACACTACATAGAAAAATTCTGAACCTCATTACTGTACTGTAGAAATGAGAACGGCAGGTTGATATTTGTTCCAGATTGTATAGAACAATTAAACACCTGTACACTGTGGTACCTATCATTATATTTTCTTCACACATGTAATTTAATTAAGTTAAGTTGTTCTAGTTTAGTAGTATATTAGATTACTGCACTGTACAGTATATTGTTATCTTTTGCATATACAGGGGGTCCCTGGGTTACAAACGGGTTCTGTTCCTGCGGACGTTCGTAAGTTGTCTTTGTACGTAAGTTGGAATACATGCTACAGGTTGACAACCCTGTATCCGAAAACCGAAAAGCTCTGAAAACCGAAAGTTTTTTTGTGGGGCAATTTTTTTTTTTTTTTTTTTTTTTTAAGCGGATTAGCCCACCGGGCATGATCACTGACCCACATCAGGGCCTGAGGGCGAAAATGTAATAGTAATAATTATAATAAGAATTATTCATGGTACAGGTTTGTACCTCTCTAGTCCGGCATTCTGTGGTCCGGAACGATTTTAGTTTGTCCAATAGGTAGATAGGCAGTTTTTTTTTTTTTTTTTTACTTATCTGAATTATTATTATTATTACAGGAGTATTAAATTTTTGCCCCTCAGGCCCCAATGTGGGTCAGTGACCTATGCCCGGGTGGGCTAATCCCCTTAAAAAAAAAAAAAAGCCGCGGGAAATTAAGGTTTGTTTACATCCGGCAGTTCGGCTGCTCTCTCTCTCTCTCTGCTTGTCTATACAGAGTACAACATTTAACCCTTCAATATATATGAGCAGTAAATAAGTGTTGCTTTCATATTCTTATGTAGAGTAATGACGATATGTTTTCACATGTGCGCACTTACATACGCGCAGTCTCACTTTTTTTTTTACCATTAATGGTTAGCTACTTATATTGTTCCATTTATTAACATTAAATAACATTACAGGTACAGGTTGTACCTCTCTAGTCCGGCATTCTGTGGTCCGGAAACTCCTGTGGTCCGGAACGATTTTAGTTTGTCCAATAGGTAGATAGGCAGCTTTTTTTACTTATCTGAATTATTATTATTATTACAGGAGTATTAAATTTTTGCCCCTCAGGCCCCAATGTGGGTCAGTGACCTATGCCCGGGTGGGCTAATCCCCTTAAAAAAAAAAAAGCCGCGGGAAATTAAGGTTTGTTTACATCCGGCAGTTCGGCTGCTCTCTCTCTCTCTCTCTGCTTGTCTATACAGAGTACAACATTTAACCCTTCAATATATATGAGCAGTAAATAAGTGTTGCTTTCATATTCTTATGTAGAGTAATGACGATATATTTTCACATGTGCGCACTTACATACGAGCAGTCTCACTTTTTTTTTACCATTAATGGTTAGCTACTTATATTGTTCCATTTATTAACATTAAATAACATTACAGGTACTTCAAGCAACCATATTAATTTTTTTACATTAATTTTACTACAGCTAAACTCAGGGTCTTATTTTCTTCAGTTTTATATGTAGAACCAATCAGTCACTGGTTTCGTAAGCTTTAACATAAACAATGCCGGCAGCCGTCTCGTCTCCTCTAATATTCCACGTATTATTAATAAATTGTATTGTTAATTTTGCACACACGTACATTAATTCAATAAAAACAAATTCAGAAACATTAATTAAAATATATATGAACAGTAAATAAGTGTTGCTTTCATATTCTTATGTAAAGTAATGATGATATGTTTTCACGTGTGCGCATGCGCACTTACATATGCGATCTCTCTTTTTCTTTACCATTATCGTTAGCTACTTCTATTGTTCCATTTATTAACATTAAATAACATTACTTAAAACAACCATATTAATTTTACTACAGCTACAACCAAGGTCTTATTTTCTTCAGTTTTATATGTAGAACCAGTCAGTCACTGGTTTTGTAATCAACGAAAACAATGCTGTGTCATTTCCTCGTGTGTTTTAATATTCTACGTATTATTAATGAATTGTATTGCTCATTTTGCACACATAACATTAATTCAATAAAAAAGACATTCAGTAATAAACAATAATGAATCTTTTGTACATAAGAGAAATGACGCTGTTTACACGATTATGCACGTCGTCTGCACGTTGGCGGGCCGTTCAAACCCGTCGAAATTCAAGTTTCCGCCGTCAAAATTTTTATTTATTTATTATTTTGTGTGTTCCAATAAAATACGTTAAGAATTAAAAACTCGCGAAATTTGAGAAGCTACTATACGACATTTAACCCTTCAATATGTCTTCAAAGAGACCATGATGCAGAGAAAGTGGTGCTAGTGCTTCCAGGCATAAACACAAGTCACTATCTATCCAGGAAAAGGGTGAATTTCCATGGTCCGGCAATTTCCATGGTCCGGCACCGGTCAGGTCCCGAGGTTGCCGGACTAGAGAGGTGCAACCTGTACTTCAAGCAACCATATTCATTTTTTACATTAATTTTACTACAGCTAAATTCAGGGTCTTATTTTCTTCAGTTTTATATGTAGAACCAATCAGTCACTGGTTTCGTAAGCTTTAACATAAACAATGCCGGCAGCGGTCTCGTCTCCTCTAATATTCCACGTATTATTAATAAATTGTATTGTTAATTTTGCACACACGTACATTAATTCAATAAAAACAAATTCAGAAACATTAATTAAAATATATATGAACAGTAAATAAGTGTTGCTTTCATATTCTTATGTAAAGTAATGACGATATGTTTTCACGTGTGCGCATGCGCACTTACATATGCGATCTCTCTTTTTCTTTACCATTATCGTTAGCTACTTCTATTGTTCCATTTATTAACATTAAATAACATTACTTAAAACAACCATATTAATTTTACTACAGCTACAACCAAGGTCTTATTTTCTTCAGTTTTATATGTAGAACCAGTCAGTCACTGGTTTTGTAATCAACGAAAACAATGCTGTGTCATTTCCTCGTGTGTTTTAATATTCTACGTATTATTAATGAATTGTATTGCTCATTTTGCACACATAAACATTAATTCAATAAAAAAGACATTCAGTAATAAACAATAATGAATCTTTTGTACATAAGAGAAATGACGCTGTTTACACGATTATGCACGTCGTCTGCACGTTGGCGGGCCGTTCAAACCCGTCGAAATTCAAGTTTCCGCCGTCAAAATTTTTATTTATTTATTATTTTGTGTGTTCCAATAAAATACGTTAAGAATTAAAAACTCGCGAAATTTGAGAAGCCACTTTCCGACATTTAACCCTTCAATATGTCTTCAAAGAGACCATGACGCAGAGAAAGTGGTGCTAGTGCTTCCAGGCATAAGCACAAGTCACTATCTATCCAGGAAAAGGGTGAATTTCCATGGTCCGGCACCGGTCAGGTCCCGAGGTTGCCGGACTAGAGAGGTACAACCTGTACCGGGTAAATAAAATTGTTAATAAAAATACGTACACCAAAATAAAATAATAATAATGATAATAATTATAATAATAATGATAATAATGAAAATAATAATAATAAAAATAATAATAATAAAATTAATAATAATAACAATAATACTGTAATAATAAAATAATAATAATAAAGAAATACAAGAATGAAAAAAAGATCAAAAGTGAGAAACACGACCTAGACCTATGAATTTTTATTATTATTATTATAATTTTTTTTATATTTTTGTCCCCCAGGCCCTGATGTGGGTCAGTGATCTATGTCCGGGTGGGCTAATACACATTAAAAAAAAAATTAACCATTCTGAAAACCGAAAAATTCCAAAATCCAAAATGCCTCTGGCCCCAAGGATTTCGGATAAGGGATTGTCAACCTGTATATGCATACCATACTTACAAAACTATGTCTAAAATCCCACTTTATTATAGCCTAAGTCCTTATACAATGGTCTCTCGGTTAACGAGCACAATCCGTTCCAGCAGGTTGCTCATTAACCGAAACTATTGTTTCAATGGGTTTTTGGGTAATTGGTTCCAGCTCACCGAAAATTACCTAAATTCAACAAAAAAGGTAGAAAAGTACACTTACTTTGAGGTGTGTATGTAGAAGGCTCCTGGATGATGATGATGATGGGAATTAGAATGGGGGTGGAGGAGAAGGGTGAAGAGAAGGCATTTCACCCATAAAATTTTAGTTCTCTTGGTGTAATTCAAGATTATTTTCTTTAAATCAGCACTGCACTGCATTATGTATTGTCAATATGTAAAATAAATTTCAAAATGACCAATAATTTGCTTGCAATCACAGAAAAAAAGCATTTAGTTGAAGAGAGTCTCAAGCAAGAGAGACTGGCGCCTGTTTCGTGTGTTGCCAGGCTGGATGGCGAGCATAAAACTAGTTTCCTTACCTTCAATTATGTTCAATAATTGTTAAAATGACTAAAAAATTAAATATTAAACTTTTAAAATTATTGAATAGTATAAACTTCTTGATATTTACTAAAATGGTAAGGAATATAAGCCCTAGAACCGATTACTGTATTGGCGGACTAATACTACAGCTGGTGGACCGCCAAATGCAAGCGAAAACATATTGAGATCGGCACATAAGAAACTCGTTAATCGAGGGATTGCGCGTTAACCGAAGTTAAGAATCATATGGAAGGTAACTCGTTAACCGAGGCGCTCGTTAACCGAGGGACCACTGTATACATCTAAAATCACTTAATTTAAGACAAAAGAATAAATAGAACGACAGTTATCGGGCGTTTGTAAGTCAGGGACCTCCTGTACTGTTATGTACGGTACTGTAATACTGTATAGGGAGATATAAGATAGAAAATAGTGTAATGTAACTGATTTATTATTACTTGTATCTACTAAATGGTTATGGCAAAAAGTTTGTTGATTGATACAAAAAATTTACAGGACAATAATGTCAAAACAAATCATCTGTGATGTAGACTCTTTGTTGGTGTGTAGAGTTTTCTAGTTTGAGTGATTAAGCATTGATTTTTTGTCTTTTTTTCAGCATTTGTCCTTTGTTTGGGAGATGGGGTCAACCATAGTCACCATGTTGCGGTTGAGGCGACCGACAACTCTACTCTGGGGCTTCGGCCTCTGTCTCTTACTTTTGTTCTATGTAACTGTACCATCAACAAATACAGGTACCAGTACTGTACTCTGGTCTGTGACACTTTTTGTCTTCAATCTTACATGTAGATTCCAGTACTATTTATGTTATATCTCTGACTTTAGAAGCTATTCCACAGTGTTCCCAAAATCAGTGTAACATGAAGGATACTATTAGATCTGGAAAAACAAGTGTAGTAGTCTAGTAAATAAGATTATTTGCAGAGGCTTGTATAAAGGTTTCTCTCTTCCTTGTTAATGTATTCACAGTATTACTCATTGTTTTAACCCAAGAAGTACTGTAGGTTTGTTCCCAGACTGGCCATACTTGATACCTGTAATGTACTGTATATATATTTTTTATACCTCATTAGATATATATTATTCTTAATGTTAAATTCATCTATATGGTATCAATATTTCTTTCATTTTAATCAAAGAAATTTATAGAATTGTAACATAAGATAGTTATATGAGAGTTAGTGACTTACGAGAAAAGGGGGGCTAGGGTTTGAAACTCATACAGCGGGATATAACCATCATTGGTCTTGGCCAGGTGATCCAATAATTCTTCTATTTGTTTATTTCTCTTCTGTTGCTTCTTATTTGAGCCAGAGCATCACTTTGCGTTTCTGGTTAGAAGACGGCATCTTGAGAGACAAAACAGATGCTTTATGATGAAATGCAGGAGAACCATGAGAGCTTATCAATATACTTTACATTCAGTATGAGAACTTCTTTTTGTTTGAAAATATAAACATGCAATGGTTGCCAGACACATTTGATTGTGATGTGCTGTGATGGATTGTGGGAGGTGCTGCATATGCTCATTTGTATACAGTAATTTCTTTGCATATGTTCATTAAGTTAAGTGGGTTGCACACTTCCACAGCCCGTAGTTGGAAATTGAGTCAGCAAAATTATGGTCTAAGTAAATGCCTCAGGAATGTTCAGTTTATCATTACAGTATAAGAATTATGATCATTCAGGGACTGCTGTATACAGTAACATATACAGTACAGTATTTTCTTCACTGTGATGGTAGGTATGTTTGGATGATTAGTTAAATTATTTATTACTGTTACAGACCAGTGTGACTGTCGTGGTCACCAACGTGCCGTCACCTCCAGTGCATTCATTGGTCAGTCACAACAGGAAGACATCAGGTCATATCCCAACGACAAGCACAAAATGGCCATTCTCATCCCATTTAGGTTTGATGTAGTACAGTATTTTACTTCTTGTGAGGCTTGTTGTCACTCTTCCATCCCATTTTTTTAGTTGTTTATGTTTAGGAGTTTACAACTTTAAATGCACTCATGTAGGTGACAGTCAGCAAGATGGGAAAAACAGGTAAAAGAGATTTACTTTTTGTAACTAGGATGTTCGGTGCATATAAATTTTGACTCTGATTGTCAGCGAAATATACTCTTGATAGACAGTGTATCTAATTTGACAGGAGAATTCATGATAACGAGTGTAAGATCAAGAAATAAACTGAAGTCTTGTTGTTAGAAAGGGCAGTGAGGTTAATAGTTAATACCTATATTACTGCTCTGTTCAGCTTTTGTGAGCTATGCCTTGGGTGTACAGGGTATTTCCATTAATCCCTTCACTATGGGATGCCACTTTTCATATTTTATTTGGTCAATACCAGACAAATTTATTTAGCACAAGAGGTTAGACTGTATCAGTGGAAAGTTGATTTTTGATGTAGTTAAACAAACACAGTACATCCAACATGATTTGCTGTTTAGTAAAGATGTCTTGGTATTTATTGTCAGTGATACTTTGATATATTGTACAGGAAAGAATAGGCCTGTTGATTGGATTGCAGTAGAGGTATTGTATTTCAAAAGATTTTATAAATGTTAGGTAAATGCTAAATTATATACAGTACAGGTTCATGTACAGAGGATTTTTATCTTGGAGGTTCATTCTGAATACAGCACAACACAGTAATCTCTTCCATACAGCTGAGCACCTTCACATTTGTAACTTATTGTAAAGCAACAACTTTATGATAAAGAAAAAATCTCTGCGTGAGATATCATCATGGATTATAGGGAGTGGTAAACATCTAACATTAACTGGTGTTGATAAATTGTGTTTAAAGCTTTCATCATAGTATTGTACTGTATTTAGATGAGTACAACACTATACAGTATCCTCTCGATGTAACAGAATCCGATATAATGAACTCTCAATTTAGCGGAAGGAATTTTTTCTTTAACGTTTTTACATTAATACGCTCATACCTACGGAGACACCTCAGGCACATGATATGTACGTAGAAACATTAGAAACATTATTTGTGGCTCACCTTAAACTAGGGGGTTCGGTGATTGTTTTAAATTTTTTCTATGGTAATATCTCCGTTAGCCAGAATCCCTCAAACCCAGAACTCTCTGATTGTCGGAATTGAAATTTTCTCAGAAAATCTTTCTCAAAGCCGTAATTTTTCGGAAAATTATAGCTTTGAGAAAAAATTTCCAAGGGGCACATTTTCCGGAAAATTCTGAAAAATTTTACCGATACACAGAAAATTCCAGGAATGGGAGAGTTTTTTCTGGGTTTGAGAGATGAAAATCAGGTGCATTTTCCAGAAATTCTGAAAATAATTCACAGGGATGGGGGATATTTTTCCGGGTTCGAGAGATGATGTAGTGGGCAATTTCTGGATTATCCGAGAACATTTTTCCGTTTTCCGAAAATTCCGGGGATGGGGGATTTTTTTCCGGCTTTGAGAGAATTGTCTTGTTACCCAGAAATCTCTCATTCCCGGAAGTGCTCTGCACCAATTGTTCCGGCTAACGGAGATATCACTTATATTTCCAAACTTTTTCCAATTGATAGCTGCACTCTTTGACTTTTTCCTCCACACTACTTCCTTTCTGAGACTTCTGAGAGACTTTCGACATGGTGTCTAAGCGCAGTATACTGTAGTTAGTTGACCGAGAGGTAGCAGTGAACAACACATGCAGTGGCCGCAGGACACAGACCGAGCAGATATAAGCAAACACCACGCGCCAAGCGGCGGAACTTAACAGAATCATGCTCAATTTAGTGAATTAGTTCACTAAATTGAGCAAAAATAACAGGAATTCGATTTAGCGGAAATTTCAATTTAACAAAAAGGGGTGGCTCAAATAAGTTAGCTAAATCGAGAAAATACTGTATACCAGTACTGTAACATCTCATTTCATATTTGAAATTTCATAAATTTGGGAAGTGAAAATGTTAAGTTATGGTAATTTGGCCTGTTCTTTGATTTAATTTTTTTTATGAAACATATTGTTCCAAGCCCAAGCAGAAGGGGTTATTACCTGTAACCTTTTGATATAGATATTTTCATTGCAGGGATCGTTTTGAGGAGCTTCTGGAGTTTGCTCCTCATATTCATAACTTCTTAAATACCCAGCACAAAAATCATCATTTATATATCATTAATCAGGTGAGAATTTTGGCTAAATTTCAGTTACAGTAAAGTATATTAAAACAAAAGTGGTTCCTGTTTTGATATTGAGCCAAAAGCATAAAGGTGGTCTTATTTTTCATAAAACATATTGTTGCTATCTCAACAGGTAAGCTAAAGAATTTATAATCTGTTTCAGAGTACAGGTACAGTATTGTACTATACAGGTACAGGAATTGGTTTATTATTTGTTAAATTCTTTCCAGGTGGATGGTCTTCGTTTTAACCGAGCGTCTCTACTTAATGTAGGTTTTTTAGAGTCGGGCATTGACTGTGATTATGTTGCAATGCACGATGTTGACCTGTTACCCATGAACGCAGCACTAACTTATCAATATCCTCATGATGGTCCTTACCACGTGGCTGCCCCTCACCTGCACCCAAGATATCATTACCCAACATTCATTGGTGGCATACTGCTTGTGAAAAGGTAAGACTTAATGATGAATACATTATATACAATTATTTGTAATGATTTAAGCAGTGATTTAAACTAGCTGTACCAACCCTAACTCAATTTAATTCAGGTCAACCCAAGTGTGAATATAATAGTTTTCAAGAAAATTTAAAGAAGAACTCGTAGATAATTTTTTCTTTTATTATTATTTTTTCGACCCCAGGCCCCGTTGTAGGTCGATGACCTGTGCTCGGGTTGGCTATTCCCAGTAAAAAAAAAAGTGTCGGGCACATGAATGTACTGTACAGCTGCTTCAGTGCTTGCCTTTCATGTTACTGAATTACTTAAATTGATCAAATGTCAAAGATTCAATTTGATCTGTGACCACTTACAAGTTCATTGCAATGAGTTAAGCCTTAACTGATTTTTACTAGTGTTCAATTACTTCCATGACTGGGTTGGGTTGTGTTGTATGGTAGTGTCCATTATATATTGTTCCATTCTGTTAAGTTCCTCATACCATACCTGCTATTAATGAAATGGAAAGTTTAGAGTGAGTGGCATCAGAAATATCAAAGGGTTTTAGCAGGTTGTTCAGCTTATTTGGTGAGGATGGAGTGTAAGTGATGTTACTGAGGCAGAGTCGCTAATTGTGGATGGTGTGGGTGAGGGGTTATCATAGAGGTACTTACTCATTGTTTAGAGTTGTTTTTGAACATTTCATGTAGTGTTAACTGTTTCATATGTCTGGGTGTATCTTTTCTCTGTATCTTGGTTGAGATAAAAGCTCAAGATTTGTTGGAGTCTGATGAAGTTTCTCTACTCAAGGGCTCATATGTACAGTCCTGGACTGAATTTTGTGATACAGTCAAGGTGTATTGTAGGGTGTAAAGTCCGCCCCCACCCTTACTGGACTGTGGGTCGCTGTCCAGCCATTTCTCAACAAGGACTGGGAAAGGATGTCATTGTTTTGTTTAATATATTCATGAAACAATTTACCCAATCAAGTTTTACATTATTTAACATAATAGGTTACATCTGTATTAGATAACTATTACATAATCTTAACAATACAGAAGACAGTGATCAGTGTGCCTTGGTGGGTGGGGTTTGCAGCGATAGTATCAGAATCCTCCCAAGCTGTATTTTCGCTCTGTATACTTGGCTTATAACCTCCTCCACACACATTCACTTCTCACACCCATCCTCTTCATCTTCTTGTTTTATATTATATTTTATTTATTTCTAAGCCACATTAGAGTATTGTAATGATTTTTGACAACTTTTATAGTTTCATTACGAGTAACACACTAAACGTGGCAGCCTGGCTGGTGAGTTGGCCACACAGTTATAGCCCACCACCTACACACATGTTCACTTCCCACACATACCGTATTTTTCGGCTTAAAAGACGCACTTTTTGTGACAAAAATGTACCCCGAAAATTACCGTGCGTCTTCCAGGACACTAGTTGATGAGTTGTAGCAGAGGTTTTTGAAATCAGCCCCTTACAAAGACTGTTACCTCATTACAGTACTTACAATTACAAGGATTCTCTATACAGTACAGGTTGTACCTCTCTAGTCCGGCATTCTGTGGTCCGGAAACTCCCGTGGTCCGGAACGATTTTAGTTTGTCCAATAGGTAGATAGGCAGTTTTTTTTTTTTTCTTATCTGAATTATTATTATTATTACAGGAGTATTAAATTTTTGCCCCTCAGGCCCCAATGTGGGTCAGTGACCTATGCCCGGGTGGGCTAATCCCCTTAAAAAAAAAGCCGCGGGAAATTAAGGTTTGTTTACATCCGGCAGTTCGGCTGCTCTCTCTCTCTCTGCTTGTCTATACAGAGTACAACATTTAACCCTTCAATATATATGAGCAGTAAATAAGTGTTGCTTTCATATTCTTATGTAGAGTAATGACGATATATTTTCACATGTGCGCACTTACATACGAGCAGTCTCACTTATTTTTTTTACCATTAATGGTTAGCTACTTATATTGTTCCATTTATTAACATTAAATAACATTACAGGTACTTCAAGCAACCATATTCATTTTTTTACATTAATTTTACTACAGCTAAACTCAGGGTCTTATTTTCTTCAGTTTTATATGTAGAACCAATCAGTCACTGGTTTCGTAAGCTTTAACATAAACAATGCCGGCAGCCGTCTCGTCTCCTCTAATATTCCACGTATTATTAATAAATTGTATTGTTAATTTTGCACACACATACATTAATTCAATAAAAACAAATTCAGAAACATTAATTAAAATATATATGAACAGTAAATAAGTGTTGCTTTCATATTCTTATGTAAAGTAATGACGATATGTTTTCACGTGTGCGCATGCGCACTTACATATGCGATCTCTCTTTTTTCTTTACCATTATCGTTAGCTACTTCTATTGTTCCATTTATTAACATTAAATAACATTACTTAAAACAACCATATTAATTTTACTACAGCTACAACCAAGGTCTTATTTTCTTCAGTTTTATATGTAGAACCAGTCAGTCACTGGTTTTGTAATCAACGAAAACAATGCTGTGTCATTTCCTCGTGTGTTTTAATATTCTACGTATTATTAATTAATTGTATTGCTCATTTTGCACACATAAACATTAATTCAATAAAAAAGACATTCAATAATAAACAATAATGAATATTTTGTGCATAAGAGAAATGACGCTGTTTACACGATTATGCACGTCGTCTGCACGTTGGCGGGCCGTTCAAACCCGTCGAAATTCAAGTTTCCGCCGTCAAAATTTTTATTTATTTATTTTTTTGTGTGTTCCAATAAAATACGTTAAGAATTAAAAGCTCGCAACATTTGAGAAGCTACTATACGACATTTAACCCTTCAATATGTCTTCAAAGAGACCATGACGAAGAGAAAGTGGTGCTAGTGCTTCCAAGCATAAGCACAAGTCACTATCTATCCAGGAAAAGGGTAAATTTCCATGGTCCGGCACCGGTCAGGTCCCGAGGTTGCCGGACTAGAGAGGTACAACCTGTACTATAAAACTATTGATTTAACTAATATTGTTGATATATTGCACAAAAATAAATAAATAAACCCTTGCTGCTGAGTGGTTTGTTTACTAATGGCAGTGGTGCGGCAGCACCATCTATTGAGGAATTGCTAAAGGTTGTCTGCTGGTCTCAAATGCAGGAATGTTTGTTTCTTTATATGTAGGCTCTCATATTTGGACACCTATTTACAGTAGGCTCTCATATTTGGATACCCATTTAGACTGTAAAAACCCCACAAAATTAAAATCTTCCAAATTTAAATACAACTTCATCATCCAAGTAAAAACACACACACACAACATCATTGGCTGTCCTTGTGTTTTCAACTTTACTCCACTGGTGGGTAGATTTTTTTTTTAATTCAGAAACATTAATTAAAATATATATGAACAGTAAATAAGTGTTGCTTTCATATTCTTATGTAGAGTAATGATGATATGTTTACACATGTGCTCACTTACATACGTGATCTCACTTTTTTTTTACCCTTAATTGTTAGCTTCTTCCATTGTTCCATTTATTAACATTAAATAACATTACTTAAAACAACCATATTAATTTTTCTACATTAATTTTAATACAGCTACAATGGAGGACTTATTTTCTTCAGTTTTATAATTATGTAGAACTAATCAGTCACTGGTTTTGCAAGAAATGAATTGTTTGTTTACTTTTATTTTGTTTTTAAAAAAAGATTTTTTGTTTTATTTGGACGTTGATATACATGTTTACATTTCCTTACCTTCTACTGTTGGAAAATATTTCCCGTCGTTGTCATACCGACAAAAACAAGAGAAAGAATGTAAACACTACAGCCCCTAAGATGTGGAGGTGACCAGGTGTATAAACTGAGTGCTGTATTAAAGATTTCACCTTATACAGATTTTTTTTTTTTAAATTGATGAAAATGACGACTGATAAGCAGTTCTAAGTGATGATATTCAAAGAGGTGTGTGTACTTGTGCCAGAAGGGCTGTATATCAAGCAACGGTTTCACTGGTGTAGGTAGTAGGCAGCTAATGTATCAAACAAGGAGGTACTACCATCTGGGAAGATATTGGAAGCATAATGTATTGTCTAATGGTAGACCCTGCTGCTATGTGACCAAGTCCCTGATTGATGATCTGACTTTCTGCAGGGTCTTAATTGTTTCTCACTCTTGATATTTTTTTTTCATTTTTGTATTTCTTTATTACTGTATTATTATTATTATTATTACGGTATTATTATTATTATTATTATTATTATTATTATTATTATTATTATTATTATTATTATTATTATTATATTTTCGCCCCATAGTCGCCAATGTGGGTCAGTGACCTGTGCCCAGGTAGGCTAAAACCCGTAATTTTTTTTTTTTTTTAGATTTTCATTTCCAAAATCATGGTGCGTCTTCCACGATGCTGCGTCTTCCAAGCCGAAAAATACGGTACACACCTGTGCTCTTCATTTTCATTATTTTATAGTTTTATATATTTTTTTCTAAGCTACATGATTGATATAGAGTGGAATAAGTGTTAAAAAAAAAATTTGCCCGCGTGTGGGGGGTTCAACAGGTCCTATGTTGCCCCGGCTTTAAGGGTTAAGAATCATAGTTAACTTGAATATGACAATGTTCTTTTGGCACTTAGTTTGCAAAGTAATTTAGCACCCCTGAGCCCATGATTCACCAATTTTGCACCACTAAACTATGTGAATCTTTATTCTCTTATTTTAAAGAAATGTTAAAAACAGTATATTTTTTTTAGTCGCTGCAGTCAAGAAGCAACAATTAAAATTATGTACAGTGGTCCCTCGGTTAACAAACGGTTCAATTAACGAAATTTCGGTTAACGAATTAGCTCCCATAAGGATCTTCAATTCGGTTAACAAACAAAACTTCGATTAACAAAATCCTTACAACAAACACGTTTTGTTGTGAGCATCAGCTGATCAGCTGATGGGCTAGTCTGCCAATTCAGTAATCTGTTCTATGTTTACATTCGTTTCCAGTGGAGTAAATATCAAGAAAGTTGTGCTCTTTCATATTTTTGCATTTTTTATATTAAAATTATTAGTTATTTTAAAATTTAGTTAACATATTGATACCCGGTAATACTGTATATGCAGTGCAGGGAACTAGTTTTTTGTGCGCCCATCAGCCGCCTGACTCACCCACCAGGCGTCAGTTTGGCTGTGTTTACAGTGGAGTGAACATCGATTTTGTTGGTGTCTTGAATACTTTTTGCATTTTTAAAATTATTGGTCTTTCTGAAATTTAGTTAACATATTGATAATATATAGTGCAGTGCAGTGTTGATTTAAATAGAATAATCTTGAATTACACCTAGTGAACTTAAAATTTTATTGGTGAAATTACTGCATCAAGCATGGGTCCCCTGAAAGGTGATTTCTCCTCCATCCCCACTTCCTTCTCTTCTCCCTTCTCCTCCACCCCACTTCTAATTCCCATCATCATCATCAACCAGGAACCTTCTACATACACAACTCAAAATAAGTGTACTTTACTGCATTTTTTTTTTACTTTGTATGCACTTTTATGTGAGCTGGAACCATATACCCAATATCCCATTGAAACAATGGATTCGGTTAACGAAAGACTCTGTGGAACGAATTGTGTTCGTTAACTGAGGGACCACTGTACTTATTAAGCTACATTAAACTATTACTACAGTACAACAGATCTACTTGTCTAGATATTAAGTAAACTCTCTGCTTTGATATGATCAGATAGAACTCTAGTTTAGTCTCGTCTCAAACCGTCCAGCGAATAGATTTTGTCTTCTTTTGTAATGCAGAATACCGAGTGTCTTATTTCATTTGATTGTCAACTATGTTCATGTATATTTTATTTATTTTGTACTTTTGTAGAATTGTATTGATTAAAATTAAAATACTGTAATTGTAATTGGGTATAATTTTGTCATACCTCAGACTTTTTTTAGCAATCTGGAAAGATTCAGACATGAATCTCGTAAACTTTGTTTTTTACGAGTGGCATCACTGACAACGACCCGCTGTCCAGTAAGGGTGGGGGCTGACTTTGCACTATCCATCTTGACTGTATCAAGAACTTGCATCCGGGCCTGTACTGTTCGTCAAGCTTATTTCATGAATTGCTAATTTTCTTTGATATATTCACCATCAGTGTCACTGTCACACTCTTCCTCTTGGTCTTGCTGGACCATGACCACACTGTATTTACAATTTTGTCATGTCATCCAAGCAGTATTTGGAGTTTCTTTATTACAATTTGTCCACTCTTCTGTACCTATACCACCCAGTGTAACAGGAGTGGAGTATGATACAGTACAGTATAGTACAGTACAATGTATTCATAAATTAATAAATAGATACCTGTAAACAGATAAATAGACAGATTGCACTTCTTAATGTAATTTAAGAGAAGACAGTGTTTTATGTAGATGCAGGAAGTATAAAAGTTTAAGAAAGTGTGGTGGATACAGTGCTCATCTCCTGTTTTAGGGGTTACTGGTTTGTGTTAGGGGCACCCCAGCTGTCCCAGCTGTGAATTGGTACTGTTATTGCCCACCTTTATACCAGGGCTCTTCAGTGAGTGTGCTGTCAACACTACTGTTTAGCTGGCAGTTTCGCTAATGGGAGCCACTTAAATTTTTTATTTTATAAACATATATATGTTTAATAAAGTTCCAATAATTTTTTCTTTTTGATTGCAGTACAGTACCAGGTATGCATAATTTTGTATTGGAATATAATTGATAATACTGCGATTAAATTTCTTTATTTTTATGTACAGTAGATCTGTTTACTCCTCCTTCACAACAGAGAACACTTTCGTAAAGTAGATGGACTGAGCAACAAGTACTGGGGTTGGGGACTCGAGGATGATGAGTTCTTTGCTCGGCTAAAAGAAGCGAAACTTGAAGTGTTTCGCCCAGGAAATCTCACCTCTGGAACCAAAGATACATTTAAGTAAGAACTTTCAAATTAAGTTGTTTTACAGGTTTATACAGTACGGTATTGTTTTTGTGTGTGTATTGTATGAAGAATTTTAGCTTCAACTAAGCAATCATTGTTTATACAGTAATACAGTAGGTAATTTCTTTATGTGAATTCTCAATATGCCATTTTGCTACCATTCAAGAACCTCTTTACAACTAGGAGCTTGATATATACAGTGTATATATATATATATATATATATATATATATGACCCTCGTTTAACGAACACCTCGGTTAACGTAATTTCGATTAACGAACTGCCTTCCATAAGGATCTTCAATTCGGTTAACGAAAAAAAATTCGCTTAACGAACTTCTTACGAACCGACCTCAACATGTTTTCGCTTGCACTGACCGGGCAACCAGCTTTAGTATCAGTCCGCCAATACATTAATCGGTTCTAGGGCTTAAATTCCTTACTATTTTTGTAAATATCAAGAAGTTTATACTATTCAATAATTTTAAAAGTTTAATATTCAATTTTTTAGTCATTTTAACAATTATTGAACGAAATTGAAGGTAAAGTGACTAGTTTAATGCGCGGCATCCAGCCTCTTAACACAGCAAACAGGCGTCAGTCTCTCTCTGTTTTCACTGGAGGTAACATCTTGCTTGAGACTCTCTTCAACTAAATGCTTTTTTTCTGTGTTTCCAAGCAAATTATTGGTCATTTTGAAATATATTTTATATATTGACAATATATAATGCAGTGCAGCATTGATTTAAAGAAAATAATCTTGAATTAAACCAGAGAGCTAAAATTTTATGGGTGAAATGGCACCATGGGGTGACTTCTCTTCCACCCCAATGCCTTCTCTTCTTCCTTCTCCTCCACCCCCATTCTAAATCCCATCATCATCATCATCATCCAGGAGCCTTCTATATACACACCTCAAAGTAAGTGAACTTTTCTACCATTTTTGTTGAATTTAGGAAATTTTCGGTGAGCTGGAACCAATTACCCAAAAACCCATTGAAACAACGGTTTCGGTTAACGAACGTGTTAACGAACGACCTTCTGGAACGGATTGAGTTCGTTAACCGAGGGGCCACTGTATATATATATATATATATATATATATATATATATATATATATATATATATATATATATATATATATATATATATATATATATATATATATATATATATATATATATATATATATATATATATATATATATATATATATATATATATATATATATATATATATATATATATATATATATATATATATAAGAAAAATTCACTATTTTATGGCCTGGCTTCTCTGACCTTGAGAAAGTAGACATTTGGAATTCTTTATTGCTCATAATTCCAATGAATTAATTGTTGAAGTCCTAAAGATAAATCCAAGTGATGAAGAAAAAAAAGAGGAAAACCAGGGGGTGGTCCTGCATATACAGTATAAGGATTTAACAGTGAAGAAACTGGATAGTTTTTTCATGCATTGATCAACTCACTCAAATTGCACTTGAGTTGGATCCTAGCCTGGAGTGGGGTATGCAGTTTAAAGCTACTGGACAGCTGGTCTTGCCCCTAAAAGGAAATTTATGATCAAATGCAGCCACTGACTAATCAGCCAAGCATTATACATTTTATAAGCCTTCAACTCCAAGCCCCTCACTGCATGTGTTGACTCATTAACTTCTGCCATGACACCTGCTGCCTCTCCTGGCCCATTAACCTTCACCTTGACATAGCTCATTCAGCAGTTTCTTGTCATCACATCTTGAAGTCACTGTACTGATATCCAGTAAGGATTCCTCAATTTTCCCCATATGCACAAAACTGGAACCCAAGGAGCATGAAGCATCTGTTGATGTTGGCCTCTGTTCCTACAGCTAACATCAATTGATGTTGGCTGCTGTGTAAGAGTTCAGTAGATATGGAGTTGGGGGACAAAAATGAATCCCTGTTACCCTTTATTTATATTTTACCTATTATGCCCTATGTGTGAGTATATTGAGGAAAGTAAACTACTCATAGAGTGAAAACCTATTGTATTGAAATAAACTATACTAAAAAATTATATGATGGTTGTATTGATTAAACAAGTAAAGAGTATTAGATATTGTACTAATCTTGCTTTATTTTACAGACATATTCATGACAGACGAGTGAGAAGACGTGACATGATCAAATGTTACAACCAGCAGGAGATTACAAGACATCGTGATCGACAGACTGGGCTCTCTACCATTCGTTATCGGCTTCAAAGCAAGAAAGAGGCGAGATAATTTTAATTGTTCTTCTCATGGATATTATAAACTATTAGTAATGCGTGAATTACTTATTAAACAATACAAATAAAATTACTAAGATATTTAAGAGAATGGATATCAGTCTATTTGCAATACTAAAGTAGGTATCTTTGACTTTATTAGGCATCTCATATTCATTATTCATCAGATACAGTAATCTCTATGTTAGCCGGAATAATAATTAATTGGTGCAGAGCAGTTTCGGGTTTGAGAGATTTCTGGGTATTGAGACAAATTTACTCATCCCCAGAATTTATCTGGGCGCTGGTGAATGTTTCCACATCGGACTTAAGTCAGACAGATTCAGAGCTGTAGTTATTGATGCAAACACTACTGTACAGTATATGTGAGATGTTCTGTACAATAATCTAAGCAATTATACAGTATCGTGAAAACATGTTATTTATAGCAACGTATTCCCTAACCCCTCCTCCGTCCCCTGGATAAGACGCAAGTCAATTGGGAACCTTTACATGTGGGTGAGAGTCTTCTGAAAAGACTGTTGTATGTCGAACATTCCTCCCCGAGCACGCTTAGACACGCCTACACCGGCAGCCAGCCATCAAACCAGGACGATCATGCTCATTTTCTCTTCATGACGTGACACATGATGTACTTTTTGAAATCATTGTTGGCCAGTGGGAACTTTAATTGTCATAGTATTTCAACCAATTGCAAACCAGTATTTTTATTTGTATCTGCAGCCACCCGCCACCCACAGAGCGAGATTGTTGTGAGCACTTTGATTGTTATCTTAAGTGATACACACCTTGTTTATTGCCACTATTTTGCCAAAATGGGTGATTATAGTGTAGTGTAGTGTTTTGCGTGTGTGTGTCTACACACGTACAAATAAATAATAATGGGAAAATCCCCTCACAAATAATCAGAAACAAAACAAAATGTATTAAATATGTGAGTCTACCCTCAAGTCAATTCCTTGCTTTGTTATTAAAGTTATAAGAAAGCACGGAGTTGACTTGATGGTAGACTCTTACATTTTTAATACATTTTGTTGTTTGTTTCTGATTATTTGGGAAAGGATTTTCCCATTACTATTTATCTGTATGTGTTTTGTGCATTTGTGTCTACACACGCACACACATATGCAATACATGTAAAAGAAATTAGTCTCTAGAATGAATGGCTCTCTGTCCCAGCTGCAAAAATGCCAGCAACTTTAAAACTACCCTTAGACATTCTTGGGTACATCCAGGGTATCATCCGCGAAATGTCAGGGCATGCCGAATACGTTTTATAGTCGATATTGCTATTTTTAAAATCATACCCTTATAATGATTTTTGGTAAAATAATTTTTTTTTTTATGTTACAGTGCATAGACCTACATGTCATTAGCCATATTATACAAGATAAATCAGTCCGGTATCATTATTGGTTAAAATATTATCGCAATTTAAAATTCAAAATTCTTTAACTACATTTTCCTCCATTTTCTGTTTCCAATGCATAGCAGGCTATGGTCCAGAGTACCTCATTTATAGCATATTTTAAATAAATACAATATACTACAGTACTGTATACAACTATACTGTACTGTACTCACCAGCAAATACTGTCATCTGAAGCTTGTGATGCAGGCAGGCCAAATGGTGATATGATGATACAGCATGGCCTGCCTTTGTCCTGTAGCAGGTGTTGCTAACTGTCACGCTCCTCTCCCACCTTGAAGGAGGGATTGTATTTGCACTATATACTACATAAACCTTCTACACATTAGCATACACTGTTCACTCTACTATGTACAGTATTGTACTGTACATATGGTACTTTCACGCTTATTGAATGTACAGTATTACAGTACAGTATACATAACTCTAATCACTTTTTACATCTTAACACTGCTTTAATGGTGTTCTTGGCTGATTATATCCTGGTAGAGTACTGCACAACACATCATACGCAAAAATAGCAGTGAGTGAGTGAACAAGGTTGTACAATGGCAACAGACAATGAAGTAAGAGTGTCATGATGCTCGAGTTTGAGGAGATAGGCTGTGAGATACATCAGCCAATCATCGGTGTCCCATGCAGTCAATTGACAGTAGTAGCCATTGTAGCTCAGGAGCACCTTGTGCCTACCCACCCATGCACTTGGCACAAGTCAATGCATGATGCAATCTCTCAGAAATTCATTTGAATGCCTGGAACAGACATATTCCCTTAATTTCTTAAATGCTAAAAAAAAATGGGGGGGGGGATAATGGAAACTTTGATTCCTGCTAACTGAGAGATTACTATCTGTGATTTTAATCATGATCAGACGAGCTCATATGAAAGAAGAACAGAATTTGAAGGCTATTGCTTGTACAGTCCCCCAAAAAAGTATCATTAGATTTTCAGTCGCTACAATTTGAAACGCTAGACGAAATGCTTTGATACGATTCCCGGCGCATCATGATAAGTTGGTACATCCGCTTGCCATATCAGCAACAGCTAGAGATGGGGATAGGATTGGGGGAGGGAGTTGTCCTTGTGGGGCATACAGTACTAGATACTTCTATATAACAAGAAATTCATTAAGCTATATTAATGTATGTGTAGTGCTGAGTAGAAGCAAGGCATATGTAAACAAGCCAGTGACTGATGATTACAATAACACTGAAATATACATTTACTGGAAATGTTTCGGAACATCATAACCGAGACGTCAAAACGGACATTTCACCGTTCCGTCATTGTAGTAATGGAGTTTCATTTATACCAAGTTCCACAATATACCTACTTGTGTCAATCACGATAGGTCTGATTTATAAAGAGTGTCTAAGCAAATAGTACTTGATATTAGAGTGAGCAGCTACAAAAATATACAACATACGTAATGGTCTACATGGGCTCTGCCATATTACTGATATGTAAATTGTACTGGTTTAACACCGAAATAAGGTTTCAAATCAAGGAACTTACAGGAACAGAACTATAGTAAGACATTTGTAGTTGTAAGTTTCAGTGTAGCAGCAGCAGTTTCATTGCGCCTAAGCCATCGTGATACTGTGGGTTCGCTCACCCCAGTTCACCGCACTATCCCATCATTATGTAAACCCTCGTTGTGAAGGGCAATAATAACACCTTTCACATCTTGCTACATCTCCCCGATAATTCCTCACTCCATTTGATGTAAGATCCTGTTGATGACTGGCATGATTTTTGGTGTCCATTTACGACATCCACTCCAATTCATGTAATATATCTGAAACCTTGGAGGATTAACATCATTCGAAAACGTCTATAGTCATTCATGCTCAAAGGTCAAGTTTGTAGAACTACCAACTGTTCAGAAACAGGTCGAGTAACATTGCTTGGAAAGCCTCAAATCACATCGATCCCATGGCTAACGATAGTTTTTTTGGAGACCGTACATAAACTTTCAAAGCTCTTCACCATTACTGTACTTACAAAAAATGTATCTCTTTAGTAATTTTTTTTTGTATTTCAGATGACAATTCAAGGTGCTCCTATGACAATCTTGAATGTAGAGTTAGAGTGTGATAGATATGTAACACCTTGGTGTGATTGTACAGAAAATATTGGCAACACACCAAAGTCCCAACAGTCTTCACCAAAATCTGACGATGTTATTGTACCAAGGCTCAATCGTAAAAAACATTTAAGCCATGATGGTTAGAATTGTTTATGACTTGTTTTTTGAATAAGTGATGTGTGTGTGTGCACACTACAGTACAGGTTGGGTATCCCTTATCCTAAATTCCCAAGTCCGAAATGCTCTGAAACCCGAAAGTTTGTTTCATTATATTTATGGTAGATAATACAGTGAATATGGCATATATAATAACATTTACTAGGGTAAGTGTGTATGTGTACTGAATAAAGGCAAGACACAGGCTGCTTGGCGCCTCAGAATCAGGTGTCATGGCGATGCCAAACAGACGGTAGTGATTGCTTACTTTTCTGGGTCTTTAGTGTACATCTTATCATATATTTTATACCCAACATTATTAAATTATATTTCATAAAACTACCTGTAGAATATATGCATCCATATATCCTGTAAATGAAATATAAATGAATTTTGTGCATAGACTTTGGCCCCATCCCTGCTGGGTGAGCTATTGCATTATATAGGGTCTGTATACAAGATATTAGGTATTCCAAAATCCGAAATATCCCAAATCCGAGACCCTTAAGGCCCCAAGCATTTCGGATAAGGGATACCCAACCTCTATTCTATTATTGAATTTATTCTTGCCAAATGTACAGAATGGTCTTGCTGAACGAGTGATATTCATTCCTGAAAGAGTGCTTGTTAGGTGAATTCTCATTCAATGGGACCCATTTTTCCATAGGATCCCATGTTAAAAGCAGAGATGTGTTCCAACCCAAAGATTTTCAACCCAACACTCCATAGTATATACTTGTATGTGCACCAGCTTATAGTATTTTGACCCTGCAATTGGTAACTGGTGTGGTGCATAAACATTGCAACAACAAATGACAAATACCATCTGTGGTGCTGTGAGCTTCTAGAAGTAGCAGCTGCAGTGACAAGAACCTATCACAAAATATATACTTGCTAAATAGATTCATGCAAAATTTATTAGTGAGAAAGCCGCATCAACGAATAATGTCTCACAAGGGAGCATATGTCTAGCTCACAGTTCATTATGGTTGTGACATTGGTCAGCAGGATGTTTAAACAGAGACAGCAGTTTATCACGCATTTTAATGTGAAGACTAATAGCTGTTTGAAGTTAGTTAAATTACTGTATATTAATTTTTTTTTCCCAAATACTCTCCAAGTGCTGTACAGTAATTACAATCTTCCTATAAGCAGATACCAATACCTGTATAAACACTTTGGTAACCCACCAGATAGCTAAAGTTTCTATAGAAAACAAAATGTGATAATATATTCTATCTTCTATTCTATACTGTATTCATATACAGTCAGTCCTCGACTTACGATGGTGTTAGGGACCGACGACCAGGTCGTAAGTCGAATTGGTCGCAAGTCGAAAATGCGAAAATAATACATAGAAAATCTAAAATGGGTGTCTCTTTTTTTTCTCAGCACCACGAGAACTCTCACTTTTACACTTGCCAGCCATTTTAAAGGGAATTACAAACGAAAATTTTGTCAGTACACAGCGCGATCACTAACGTCGGGACTCGAAAATACGTAATTTGAAAAATATTTAATACAACTGCGGCGGTCATATGTCCGGGTGGTCGTAAGTCGAGTAGGTCATAAGTCGAGGAGTACCTGTTTACAGTACTAATTAACTTGGAGCTGAAGTGTTGAAAATTGAAGTGGGGGATTGAGTTACCTGGCAAGCATATGCAGCCACCAGCATCTCAAGAGGAAAAATGATCTTTGATAACAAGCACTTTGTTTTCATTTTGCTCTATTGTACTGTGACAATAACTACTGTGTTTGTTTTTAGACATATTAAGGACTGTAAACCTGGTTAGAATCTACAATGCTTTCTGAATGACCAAAGAGTGATATGGACAGCACAAGTACATAGGTGATACTGGCCTGTGCTGTGCCCTGAAAACAAATGCCACCCTGTTCTCTAGGCTCACTGTCTAACAAGGCTGGGCTCATTAAACAAAATTCTTGATCATTGGCTACTCGTTCAGTGGGACTTTACTGTACTTTGGGCAATTTAATTTTGTTATGTTCATTCAAATGTTGACAATGCTTCCTAGTACAGGGTCTACTGTAGGCATCAGTTCTTGTTATAGATGGAGGGACAGACACATAACCCACTCAAGCATATGTAACCTAGAATGATTGTTGAACAGTCCATCAGTATTATGGTATGTTTTGATGAATGTACTGCATAGTATTTCAGATTTTCCAGAAACACAACTTAAGATGTGTGTAAATAGGTATATGATGGTGCAGTAATCGTTTCTTTGATGTTGGAAAACACTTGCTGTGTATTACCAGGTAAGTATATTCAACTTGCTGCTGTAGTGGCTACCTCACATATATGCAAAAATGATAGACCTCGGGTATCTGGCAACAAATGCTGGTTGCTCCTAAAGATCTTTGTGGAACTTATGTTGGAGAATAAATTGTGTTGGGTATATGTTGGGCATGTAATGAGTAGGTGAGTTGTAGTGATATCCTGTACCCTCTCTATTATAAGTTGAGGTGGATGCTACATATAACATGTCTCCTTTATTAATGCTCATATTGTACATGTTACTTGTTAGGATGTACAGCACTTACTATAAGCATGCAACAGCTCTCATCTAATACAAAAGGAACAATTACGAGCACCACACATGTATCTCTTCTGTCCCCCATCAGCTGTTGCCTGTGGTGTATCTTTCTCAGAGTTCAAGGTTGTTTACGCACACATTCAGTCAACTTGACAGTAAGCTCTCAGATAGATAATATTAATAGTTTTATGTAAATTTGTACAATTGGAAGGAGTATATTGAAACACGTGAAAAGAGTTATAATTAATTTTGGTAAGTGTAAGGTGTAATGTATGAAAGGAAGTTGTGATTGTCTTCTTGCATATCTGAAGTGAGTTGTAAAAGATTGTTTTAAAATGAAAAGATAATAAAGAACCTTAAACAATACATGTGATGCAGGCTGTGTATGAGACACATGTAGATGGGGGTGGCAAATATTTCATTGATACATTCCTCCAGCATTGCTTCTGTTAGTGTTGGCTGCAGTGTTGTGTTTTTAAGTTAAGATACAGAAGTTGTATACTTTCTCTACATAGATCAGAATTGAAAGTAGTATAGTCGCTAGGCATTTCATTACTTGACCGTAGAAAATTTATGTATCCTTTCATGTTGTTACAATAAATATTTGTTCTTCTTATTCAGTATTTAAGTCATTCAGTCATTTGTTGCAGAACACTAGTACAGTTACCGATAAATTTAGGGGCTAGAGACTTTCACCATACTAACATCATCACACCATCCATCCATCATAAACAAGACATTGGTCATACCTGTGAAACATTAGCTTAAGGCTCAAATTAATAGTTATGCTCTTAGGGTTTCTTCTTTATTGTGTCTTGGAAGTTGTAATGTAGAGTATTTAAATTTTATAAGAATTACTTGAAGGTTAAAACTATTTTTTTATACTGTATTGAGGATATGAGGAAACATGTGTGGAGTGTTCTTACTTGTTGGTTCAGCACTTTCCTATTGTTTTCTACACTTTTATTGCACCATATCCCTACCATATTATCCTTTGTTGGTGTTGTTGTTTCCTCTGATACAGCCCTCAAAATTTGAAAGAGAAGTAAAGTAATGAATATATGGATACATGTGAAGTAACTGCATCAATGACATTCACACATTAATAGTGTATGGTTTACCAGACCTGTGATCCATCTTTATTTATTAGTTGGGGGGATGGAGCTTTCCTAAAGAAGCACAGCATTTGATATGGTTCAGTTAGAAGTTAAGAAATATCGATAACAGTGATATTTTTTTTTAGATTCTTTCAGACTGAGTCTTATTACTGTAGACAGCAGAATTTATAATAACCTGCAAATTATTAAGTACTGGAGATAAAAGAGTAAAATCCTCTTCTGTTGACATTTATTTGGAATATTCTTTTTGTTCTTAGCATCAGTGTTGTTCTCATAATTCACCAAAAGAGATAATTATTATTTTTATATAATGTATTGATTGTAGGATTCTTATTCTGTTCATTATATTATGATAATTATTGATGCCTAACCCAGTAGGTTTGAGTTTGATCCCACAGCCCGGCAAAGTTGGAAGGGGCACTACTGTATATTGTTTGTCCACAGCTGATCACACTCAAGTTCCCCGATTAAGCTAAGCCTTCTTACTTAGGGGTCACCAACATAAAAACTGTAGGAGTTTTCTTATATACTGTACTTGTCTCATAACACTGGTGTGTACTATCAGAAAGCATTCATTAATTATTTGAGGTTTGGAATATTTTCATGAAGCATGCAGGAAATAGTTTTCATAATAAACATGGTTGTAATATCATGTAAGGTGAGTGGTAGTGTCTGCAGTAAGGTGTTTGAGTGTAAGGTGACCGGAAAGTGTGTGACATATTTTAGTGGATGCTGCTGGTCTAGGAGTGTTTTTTTTTTTTTTTTTTCCTAAAATAAGTACTGTAATTAAATAACATGTCTGTAGAGCTAAGGTTCAGGAGCTGAGGGTCACTTCAAGAATATTTTTAAATATCGTGTGTACAAAGTCTATCATTGTGTTATACAATATGTAATTTCAATGGCTCAGGAAACAAAATTTTAGTGTATAATTTTTTTTTTAGTTTATTTCTTAACATAAAATTTTTCCTAATGTGAAGTGTGGGTGAAACAACAGATGATTAAGTTCATATCTTCGTCTGTTTAGTACATGTTATAAGTGCTTAGCTTGAGAATTAGTTAATTTCTTGATGACAAACTAGAACCACCAGTGTGATTGTCTTTACAGCGAAGCTGACCCCTCACAGAAAATTTATAATTTAGGCTTATGCTATGCAAAAAAGTGCCATCACAGGCTGATGGCAGGTGAAATTCATCAGGCAAATCACTGCAGGATGGAGGGAACACTAGGATGTAACTAATTGTTCTTACAGATACATTTTCTCATATGTTCCACATAACTACAGATTCTTGAATGAATTAAAACTTTGAAGAGTGATAACTCTTGACTGGATCATGGTGGCATAGCTTATCATGTTTTCTTGGAACTCTGTCCTCATTATGTGAACTGCCACTAAATTTACTTAAGTCTTTCTGATACCCTGCTGGGTGCATAACCAGGAGAATAATAGTTGTGATCTTTAGGTTTATATTGTAAGGTGATCTATCTTTTGTGATAACTGTGACTTGCAGATCATTTGCTATGGTAGTAAATCACTGTAATGAAAGCTTTTAACCTTTGTGTTCTCATCACTCTTGTCATAAAAACAAGACTGTGTTTCTGTCATATAATTGGGAGTTTACAGGCTATTTAGTAATCCAAAGCATGAAGAGCAATTGTCCGGTGGTTTGTTGAGTTAGACTCTAAGGTATAAATAATGTGTAGACATAATAGATTTTACGGGTCCTTTAGTTAGAAATGAACGGTCAGTACTCACATATGCTTGATATCATACAGGAATGGCTGAAAATCAAGGTGATTAGACCAAGAATTATCTCAGTTGTAGGATTTACTGACACTGGGCAGTAATTGGGATTTTGATGTAGTGACCATAAACAGTGTCCTGGATTTTGATTGTCACACTGTGTGGCAGTCTTAGTGATCAGTCAGTAACAGTCAGTGGTTACAGTGTGTACCAGGCTCAATGTGTAACAGTCTCAATGGTTACAGTGTGCAACTGTGCTACAATCTCAGTATGTAACTGGCTCAATGTATAACAGTCAGTATTTAACAGTCTCAGTGTAGCAGGCTCAATGTGTAACAGTGTCAATGGTTACAGTGTGCAGAATCTGTGTTACAATCTCAGTATGTAACTGGCTCAATGTATAACAGTGTCAGTGGTCACAGTTTGTAACAGTCTTCTTGGTCACAGTTTGTAACAGTCTCAGTGGTCACAGTTTGTAACAGTCTCAGTGGTCACAGTTTGTAACAGTCTCAGTGGTCATAGTTTGTAACAGTCTCAGTGGTCACAGTTTGTAACAGTCTCAGTGGTCACAGTTTGTAACAGTCTCAGTGGTCACAGTTTGTAACAGTCTCAGTGGTCACAGTTTGTAACAGTCTCAGTGGTCACAGTTGCTTAACAGTCTCAGTGGTCACTGTTTGTAGCAGTCTCAGTAGTCACAGTTTGTAGCAGTCTCAGTGGTCACAGTTTGTAGCAGTCTCAGTGGTCACAGTTTGTAGTCTCAGTGGTCACAGTTTGTAGCAGCCTCAGTGGTCACAGTTTGTAGCAGTCTCAGTTCACAGTTTGTAACAGTCACAGTTTGTAACAGTCTCAGTGGTCACAGTTTGTAACAGTCTCATGGTCACAGTTTGTAACAGTCTCAGTGGTCACAGTTTGTAACAGTCTCAGTGGTCACAGTTTGTAGCAGTCTCAGTGGTCACAGTTTGTAACAGTCTCAGTGGTCACAGTTTGTAACAGTCTCAGTGGTCATAGTTTGTAACAGTCTCAGTGGTCACAGTTTGTAACAGTCTCAGTGGTCACAGTTTGTAACAGTCTCAGTGGTCAGCAGTTTGTAACAGTCTCAGTGGTCACAGTTTGTAGCAGTCTCAGTGGTCACAGTCTCAGTGGTCACACAGTCTTCTTGGTCACAGTTTGTAACAGTCTCAGTGGTCAGTTTGTAACAGTCTCAGTGGTCATAGTTTGTAACAGTCTCAGTGGTCACAGTTTGTAACAGTCTCAGTGGTCACAGTTTGTAACAGTCTTCTTGGTCACAGTTTGTAACAGTCTTCTTGGTCACAGTTTGTAACAGTCTTCTTGGTCACAGTTTGTAACAGTCTCAGTGGTCACAGTTTGTAACAGTCTCAGTGGTCACAGTTTGTAACAGTCTCAGTGGTCACAGTTTGTAACAGTCTCAGTGGTCACAGTTTGTAGCAGTCTCAGTGGTCACAGTTTGTAACAGTCTCAGTGGTCACAGTTTGTAACAGTCTCAGTGGTCATAGTTTGTAACAGTCTCAGTGGTCACAGTTTGTAACAGTCTCAGTGGTCACAGTTTGTAACAGTCTCAGTGGTCACAGTTTGTAACAGTCTTCTTGGTCACAGTTTGTAACAGTCTCAGTGGTCACAGTTTGTAACAGTCTCAGTGGTCATAGTTTGTAACAGTCTCAGTGGTCACAGTTTGTAACAGTCTCAGTGGTCACAGTTTGTAACAGTCTTCTTGGTCACAGTTTGTAACAGTCTCAGTGGTCACAGTTTGTAGCAGTCTCAGTAGTCACAGTTTGTAACAGTCTCAGTAGTCACAGTTTGTAACAGTCTCAGTGGTCACAGCTTGTAACAGTCTCAGTGGTCACAGTAAATAGTTTTATTAATGTGAGTTTGGATACAGTGGAGTTCTGCTGTTTCAAATAATTGTTCTGAGAGTAACAATTTGGCTGGTAAATTTTTCCCATCAGTTATCAGCTGCAGTGTTTGGTAGGGTAAAGACCGAGATAAGAAAAGCAAAGAGGAATAATGAACTGAAGGTAGCAAGGGAGGCGAAGTCAAACCCCAATGGATTCTTTCAAACCTATCACACTAAAACATGAGAAAAGATTGGACCAATACAGTCAGATACCGGCGAGCTAACGGATAATGACGGAGAAATGAGCAATAATCTGAATAAATATTTTTCAACAGTTTTCACTTCCGAAAATTTAAACATGATACCCAAGGCACCGACTATATACAGAGATAGGGAAGAAAATAGATTAAGCGAGATAGTAGTGACTAGTAATGATGTTAGTTAGCAAATAGACAAACTAAAGCCTAATAAGTCACCAGGTCCTGATGAGATATTTGCCAGAGTTTTAAAGGAATGTAAGGAAGAGCTTAGTATGCCCTTAGCAAAGTTGTTTAACATGTCCTTAAAAACGGGTGTAGTACCAGAAATCTGGAGGATAGCGAATGTAATACCGATTTTCAAGAAGGGAGATATTGATCACTATCCTCTAACTACCGTCCAATCAGTTTAACATCAATTGTAGGTAAATTATTGTAAGCACTAATTTCAAACTACAGTATTCGAAATCACCTGGAGAAGCACAAGTTGATCAATGATTTATGTCTAACTAATCTATTAACATTCTTTTCAACTGTTTTCGAATCAGTGGACGACGGGCACAATTATGATGTAGTACAGTATATCTCAACTTTAGCAAAACCTTCGACAGAGTCCCCCACGAAAGACTACTAATAAGAAAAGTGGA